TTTTATTCTTATCACATTCATTTATTTATGTTATTGTCTCGATTGTACGAAATTAACGATAGGTAAAGTGCATAACTAACGTAACCTCGAGTTAAACAAATTTACTTTGTACAAAATCGTGTGTTTATTTTAAAAACCTATAATAAACTATAGCCTGAAAATACGATAAAAAACATGATTACCTAACACAATATTTTTAGAAATATCTTAGAAATGTAGATAATAAACGAACTATGATAGAACGCTAATGCGATTCAAATAGAACGTTTTATCTGGCGACAACGTAACGATCCATTCACTCGAAACGACAATTAAAATTAATTGTGGCAATAATAGTAAGGTTGCTTGGCCGAAGAATCTGCATACCGTTCAAAGTAAACGGCGTTTATAACTGAAGGGTATGCGAACATAGCCAGATGCGAAGAGGAGTGTATGTATGAACGTGTTACGTCCATGACCAGCAAGTTTATACCGATAATATGCATGATATTGTGATTTACATACCGCGAAAAAATAATTAAATTATTCATTGGAAGCGATCTTGTAAAAACTGTATTTTTGCGGCCTGAGGAAAATAGAAAAATACTTAATATCAATGATAAATCAATGAGAAATAGAAAACGCGTTGAAAAATTGAAAGAAGGAATTTCGAAGCCATTTTAACGCTGTAATCACGCGCATACTGAATGTCTAATTAAATTAAGGAGTTAGTGTATTGCATTGTAGCTGGAATTAAAATTGAAGTGAAAGGTTGTTTCCTAATTTTTGTATTTTCAAATAGTTGTATAATAGTTTATCTTAGTTTAATCTGAATTCTGTTCGTAATACATTTTCTATAAAACATAGTTTTTGATAATTTATTATATTTTTCACTACATATTATGATTAAAAGATTATGATGAAATCTCTCGCTAAATTATAATAACAAGGAGATCGTGACGCGTAAATGCGGCCACAAAGCCTGTCTCCGTCCTCTCGGTACTCCGCATAAAACCCAGCAGCCGTCTCTTTCAACCTAATATCATCCCCTTGGCTCTATCCGCATTCCACAAAGCGATCCAAGTAACAGCCTACTTCGATTCACAAAACGACCCCGTCTCGAACCCGCGTCCCACTCCACGCGATCGACCACCCAACCCACACTCGGGATGGCGGCCCAAAATAACAAGCCGCGTCATCATCGTCAACAATCCGTTCCATTCCATCATCCTTTCCCCATGGACCAGCCAAGTGATTACAATTTTCTTTTAAAATTGACATGCAGTCCTCTTTATATATAATATAAAATTCGTGGAACAGTATTCAAATAATGTGTATGAGGAGTTTAATATAAACAATTATAAAATTTGCAATTATTTCGTTCCATGATTCACTTTTACTATCTAATTCATAATTTACGCAGACTCTACTTACGTCCAAGCCTCTTAAATGGGTCTGTTTTAGGTATTTCTATGAAATTGAATTGTTACCATTGATAAGGCAAATTCACAGGTAATTGTTCTGTTAAACAGAATTTTTTTTCGAGTTAAATAGCACATAATTTAGATATGAAAAATAATAAAGATCGCTTTCAGATATGCGACTTAAAAAATTCTAGAGACAATAGAATTGTATTTCCATTAGTATAAACATATGCATGCAATCTCCGATCAAGAGTGCACGCACACACGAACACGGAAGACGCATCGCTCGAGCGCCGGCAGCACACCGAAAGCGCTGATTGTGTCCTCCGCGGGTGTCCGGGGGGTACCGGCCGCCAAGGGGGTAAGGGGCAGCTACATAGGTTATATATACGTGCGGCGCGCGGTGTTGGCGCCGGTTTAGTGGGGGGACGCGAGTCGCCTGGTGGGGGCGGTTCGGTGTCATTGCCTCGACGCTCGGGGCGGCCAGTGACTCCATCACTGACCTAGTGCCGAGGACCGACGAGCCGCGCCGAGATCCGCCGAGCCGGAGGACGTCGACCTCGGCCGGCCTCCAGCGCGACACACACGGATACTACGAGTAGCGCCCCGCTACCGTACACATCATGTTCCGCGTCCTTCTCTTTCTTCTGTGAACCCCTTCCGCGCACCGCACCTTCCTCCCCAAACGTTCTTTCTCCGTCTGCGCGTCTTCTTCTCTATCCTCCGCGCTCGATCCGTTCCGTTTCGATCTGGATGCGTCTCGCTTTTCATCGGCAGCTTCTAGCTTCCGATCTCTCGCACGAGCCGCCCATTAAGCTACCGATCGCGTTACGCGCAAACTGTCTTTCGGGAACGAGCAGCTCGTGCGAGAATCACACGAATGTAAGCGACTTCTAAGAATGTCATTAATCAGATACGATTCTTAATCGATGTATTACTTCGTGATTGATTCATTGTCGTGCTGCTATCGAATTGCATTGCTCTTGTACAATTATTGCACGATTTCCCTTTCGTCGAAAATAAATCACGTATGTGTTCAGTTTAGAAGGGGCGCGTTTCTCGTCCCAACGCGATGCGCTGGGCGGCAGTAGAAGTATGCACATATCGGTTTTATGACGGCGGGGATCTGGCAATTTTAGTGTGGCTCTGTGCCGCGACTGTTTTCGATGATGGAATTTCAGAGACGGTTTAGCAGAGTGGCAAGTTCGATGGACGGATGTGGACAGACGGACGGTACTGTAGGACGGAGCCCAGACTGCGACCATCGCGTCGGTTCACGTCGAATGGAGCACGGTCACGGAGAATTGTTACTTATTTTGATAACCGTGCAAACTCCTCGGTCATGGATGTTTTATTACCGACGAGTCATCCTAACTCCATCCATCGATCTGCCTTCGACGTATTTTTCTTTCAATTCTCTTTCGAATTGTGATTTCAATTACGATTAACTCTTCGTTTACAAATACATTTCTCTGCATTGTGACAGATCATTCATCTTTATGAGCAATCAGTATAACACATAAAAATCGAACAAGACGTGTATTGCCCTATTCGAGATTTATGTTTGTAGGAAATTGTCAGAAGGATGAAATTATAACGACATCCGACGTGTACAGTTAATTATGTGAACTTCACCTTGATATTATTCCCATTCACTCAAAAGCGATTTCTCGATACAAAAGCGAATAGCTATTGATCAACTTCCGGGACACAGCGGGACTCGGCGAACATCCGTGACGGATACAATGAGATTGTAAATCAAGTCGACTAGTCGTTCATCTAACGCAGAAACTGTTTAACTATTCGACGTACGTATGAATCATCAAATAACGGAAAAGGAGGAATTGATTCCAGTGTGTGACGAATGGAAGCGTCGCCGAGTCAACACTTTGTCACAATAGATGCCACGACAAGGAAGTCGAAGCCAAACGTGTACCTAATGGTATGAACCCCGAGAACTTGATTTCCATCGATACTACGACGAAACGGTGTGAAAAAGCGTATTGACAAGCCGGTAATACGCGCGATTGCAAGGGAAATTATGGTAAAGATATGTATATATGCACATAGTTATGCGAGACGCGTCGCGTGTGTATTGCATTTTGTGTATAGCGTACACTTGGACACGTTGCGGTGAGACAGGATGCGAGATAAATGGACCTCAGTGTTGCATTCACCAGTGAACGTTTGAAAGCACTTTCCAATGTTAGCAAACGCGAAACGAATCGTTTTTACTAGCGATGGGAGCCAATAATGCATTGTCAAACGTTCAGGTTTGATCTCTATACACGTTCTGTAATGTCAGTTCTCATTTACAAAATTAACAAGCTAAACATCTGCCCTTTAAATCATAGATGAAACTTCGTTTCTAATTGAGTTTGTCAATTTCTTGAAGGATTTACATATTTATGTATACTTCTACTGAATTAATACAGAAAATTTCTACGGAGTTCTTGTTTCAATAGGTGGAATTATACTCTGTAAATTCTCACTTTAATACGTTTACATTTTCGAAAGTCTAAACTCGTCGGAAAACTTTTTCTCAGAACGAGCAGTTCGTACAATTCCATTTCGCAAGCTGTAACGTTATATTAGGTGCATATTAACAGCTTGTAAGCATTATTTATGGAAGATGGTACGTTTTCTTATAACACAATTTATCTCGGTTCAAGGCTTCTTGCGAAACCGGAAATAGGCGAATCGAGTACGAGAGGTTTCCATGGGCGTACAGATCCTGAAATGGTTTTACGAACTCGTGATCCCTTTACACCTCGTAGATTATTAACTGACATAATTTATTGGATTGTACGTATGTCGTGTACATTTAAATATTCCTTTTTGTTTAGGAAATATTTCAAAGTATGAAGTGTATCAACTGATAATTGTAATAGAAACTGAAGCGATTTGTCATACGCATACTGTCCCTTTGTTTCATAAACTCGTGTGTCAATTTTAGAATCCATAATGAAAGTAATTTAATACGTATTATTGAATCAACGCGTGTGAATGTGTAATAATGAAATCCTATCAATAATACGTTAATTGTTAACGCATATGTTTGTCCTTTTAA